CCAGTAGCATTCAGTACAGAACTAGAGAAAGCGATCCTAAAATTCATAATAAACCAAAAGAGACCTAGAATAGCAAAAGCTATCTTGGGGAAGAAGGGAAAAGTAGGACATAATACAATCCTAGTCAAAATGGATCAAGGATCTAGACATTAGAACAGGAGAGAACCAAGAGAGCTGCCTCTGCTTGCTTGGTACTGGCTCGAAGGCCCTTCTGTGCACCTAGTGCAGACTGAGGGAGACAGACCTCTGCCTGCTGTGCACCGTCACCAAAAGGCCACGTCCTGCAGGTGGCCAGCGTGGGCAAAGAGAACCAGCAGATCTGCCTTCACCCTCAGGGAGCTGCCACCAGAGAGCTCCTGCAGGGTCAGGGACACACAGCCAGGTAAGCTCTGTGCATCCATAGGCCACCCTTGGTTCCCTCAGGCAACCATCACCCACTAGCAGAATCAGGCAAACACACTCCTGTGTGTCTGCCACTGTCATAGGAGTCCCAGAGCAGAGAGACACAGCCCCACATCCATACATCCCTGATCATCAGCAAAGCCACAGTGTAGCTGCATAGGTCTAGAGAAGCCTGCTCCATGCCCTGTAAATATGGAATTAGAGGAACCCAGGTGCTTGTCTCGTACCCCTACACTACATAGGAGAAGCCAACACAGGAAGTGCCTGGAGCCCTACAACCAGCTTGTTGGGAGGAACCCAGGAGACTATCAAGACAAAGGAGCAAAAGGCAAACTAAGACCTCTAGCCCACACAGAATAAGTCTGGGAGATACAGTCATGGAAGAAAATGGGAGTCACACACCTGAAATCTCTCAGACGATACCAACTGAAGTAAGGAAACAACTTCATGAGATTGTAAAAGCAGTCAAGTCAGAAATAATGTCTCAGGTAAAAGAAGAAATCACAAACATTGCTGAAAGAATTGTTTAGCAGGTCTAAAGAAGACAGAGACAATAAAGAGTAGCATAGGAAAATGATAGAAACCTTGAATGAATATAAAAAGGAACTACAGTGCATGAAACAGATTTGAAGAGAGATGCAGGAAATTAAAAATTCAATCAAAAGCTGACAAAACTGCTGGGAAGAGACTAAAGGTAGACTTTCAAACCTTGAAGACAGGATTGCAGCTAGTGATCATGAAAGGAAATATCTCTTAAAAATAACATGGAATCAGGAAATAACAACCCAAACAGCTTCAAAACGATCCAAAGAAGCATAACTTAAGAGAGACAGGTATAGGTGAAGAAGCAAAGGTCAACACACATGAAATTAAAAGGATATTCACTGAAGTAAAAGAAGAAAACTTTCCAAACATGGGAAATGGATCTGGCATGCAAAAAGTGAGGCACGTAAGACTCCAACTAGCCATAACCAAAGTAAATCTACATCCAGACATATAATCAAGATCCCAGAAATTCAGCACAAGAATAGAATATTAAAAGCTGTTAGAGAAAAGAGGCATCACCTATAAAGGAAAACAATCAGAATCACAGCACACTTATCAACACAAAGCATCAAGTCAAAAAGAGTTTGTAGTAAAGTGTTTCAAACCCTGAAAGAAAACAACTTCCGACCCAGATTGATCTACCCTTTAAACTATCTTTCAAAATTTATCCCATGATAAAGAACAATGGAAGGAATTGAGGACTATCAAACCAACCCTACAGAGAGTGCTAAAGGATATTCTAGAGAGAGATAAAGTTGACCATGGTTCCAGGAACAGCAGCAGAGAAGGATCACCAAACAAGACAGGTAATTGAATGAAGGGGAAAAGTGGAGGGCCAATCAAAGGAGGATAGCAAGGCAGAGACAAACCAATGTATGCTAGTTGTAACCATTAATGTAGATGGCCTCAGGTGAGCAATAAAAAGAGAAACAGGGACAGAGGATCAAGAAACAAGATCAATCAATACTGTATGCAAGAAACATTTAACTGGAAAAGAAATTCATAGATTGAAAATCAAAGGAGAGAAAATAATTGTTCCATGTAACAGGAGATTGCCCCCCCCCCCCGCAAAAAAGCAAGAGTAACTTGCTTATCAACTGTAAAATGGATAAGAAAGATACAGTATTTTCATGCAGTGGAAAGCTACCCAGCTATAAAGTAGAATAATCTCAAGGCTCCTGTACGTAAATGGATGCAACTGGAGATCATGTTCATGGGTGAAATAGTTCGAACTCATTTGTGTGAACTCTATCATAAGACACAGAAGTAGTTAATGGGATCCAAAAGCAAAACAGTTAATGTAAGAGCAAAGGGGAGGAAACACCTGGGAGGGAAAGGTGAAGACTACTGTTAATTTCTTATTGTCTTTTCTTGAATTCTTACACAATTATACAATTGTATAATTATGCAATTACACAATCTTATACAATTTTATTAGGTGTGGCTTTGTTCTATCTTGTTAGATTGTATGCTGTCAGATGGTAGGGACAGCTATTTTGAATATAATGAGATATATTATGGTAATAATGGTTTCTAATTACATTGCTTTGAAGTCTTAGAATGCTTTTATTCATTAATTTGATTTTATTCTGTTTTGTTTGATTTTATGAACAACTATTTTGAAGAAAATGAGACATTATGGTAGCCATTACTGATATACTATAATCTTGTTTTTAAGTCCTACCATCCTTTTGTTCTTCTGTTTTGATTGGTTCTATCCTGTTGTGTTTTATTTGATTTTCTTATGTGTGATGATATAGACAACATTTTGAGGAAAATGAGATAATATAGTAGCCATTGTTCGTTTCCTGTTATTGGTTTTGAATTCCTGTAATGCTTTCATTCTTTTGAATGGTTTTATACTATTGTTATGTTGAATATTAATGTGTGAAGGTATGCTCAACTATTTCGAAGAAAAGACATTATGGTAGCTACTGTTGATGTTCTGTTGTCTGGTTGTGAATTGCTATGTTGCTTACATTGTTCTGTTCTGATTTGCTTTATTCTGTTCTCCTTTGTTTTTTCTCTTTAAAATAAAAAAATTTTTAAAAAGTAAATAAACATTAGAACAGAAATGTAATCTGTTGGGATAAAAAATATGTAAAACATTTGAGGTTAACATGTAGAGGAAATGAGTTTCTGAACAGAAGCCAATTGCACAACAAATAAAAATTAACAAATGGTATCATATTAAATTAAACTTCTGAACAACAAAGAAAACCAACAATAGAGTGGAAGAAACAACTTATATAATGAGAAAAGTTTTTGCAACTACTTCTCAAAGGACAAGGATTTAGAATATATAAAGAATTTGAAGAAATTAGACCCCCCTCTAAAGTATAGACCCAACCCAAAAATGGGTGGCTGAAATGAATAGACACTTCTCAGATGAAAAAGTATAAATGTAGCCAGGCATAATGGTGCACATTTGTAATCCCAACACTCAGGAGGGTAAAGTAGGAGAATCACAGGGAGTTCAAGGCCAGCCTGGGCTAATAGAGAGACCCTGTTTCAAAAAACCAAAGGAAAAAAATACTGGCAGTAAGTACATGAAAATAATGTTCAACTTTCCTGGACATTTGAGAAATGAAAATTAACCCTGAGATTCCATATCACTCCAAGAAGGATGGTATCATCAAGGTATCAACCAATAACAAATGCTGGAAAGGCTGTGGGCAGGGTGGGGGTCTTTTCTTCATTGTAAATGGAAGAGTAAACTATTTACAACCACTATGGAAATTCCTCAGAAAATCAAAAATAGAAATTCCATTTGATCTAGCTATTCTCTTTCTAGGTATCTTCCCAAAATAGTAAAAATATATCAGATTATAGTGATACATGCATACTCATATTTAAAATAGCTAAATCTTGAAATCAGCCTGTCACTCAACAGATGGATGAATAAACAAAATGTGGTGTTTTTACATAATGGAATACTAATGACTGTGCCATAAAAATGGGTAAAGTTAGGCCATTTGTAGGTGAATAGATATACCTTGAGACTATAATGTTAAGGGAAGTGAATCAGACACAAGCTTAAATATTGCATGGCTTTTCTTATATGACAAACCCAATATAGAAATAAAGTACAAAATAAAAGACAATAGGGAAAAAGAGAGAAATAAAGTTACTGTAATCCATCATAGACAGTGTATCTAAAAATAGACCTTGATTTAGTGTAATTACTTTAGGGGTTTTATTTATTTATTTGGCTTATTCATCTGGTTGTTAATCCATATGTATGATGATCAAGTTTATAAAGACATAATACAAATAAATCAGATGCTGGCAAAAAAAGGTGGGGAGTAGAAGGGAAAGGGAAAAGAGATTTGAAAACTAAAATGAAATAAAGTACAATACATAAATGATTTGGCCAAAAAAAGAAATTTTCTAATTAAAGAATGCTTCAAATATGCAGTACTTGATTATGAGACTAATTACTTTTGAAAATATTTCCTAAGTAACATCTTCATGGTTCTTGGTTTCTTCAAGTTATTTGTAGTCTTCATTAGGGTTCTCTCCCTTGATTCAGGGAGTGTGGAAATACAGTACACCAAGACCCAGACCATGTCACAAGTTGATCCACTTTCCACACCCTTTTAGTAGTTTTCAAATGAAAGCAAGTCATGAAGGGAAATTGAAACCACAACCATTTCTGTAACACTTTGTTCCTCAGGGGTTACTTGGACTAAAAAGAATGCATAACACCAAAAATCCATTTAAGGTACAAGTTACATGAGTCATCAGACACTTTGTATAATTCCAAAACATTCATAAGCAAAATTGAACTGAGGTAATTTGTGAGCAATGTTCTGACCTCTCCCATTTCCAAGTCTCACTTCATTCTGTGAAGCTTAGAGGTAATTTTTAAGTGGATTATGCCACTTTGATTTTGTGATCTCCCAAGCCTCTTTTGTACCAAATCAAGTATAATTACACATTCTTTGTTCAAAAGGTAGAATGAGTAGAGTTGGAAGTCGGTAAAGACAAAGGTGTTCCATGACAAAACAACCAAATTAGGAGGTGTTTATATCAAAATACTGTGGTTTCACGCTCACTTTAGCAGAGCATATTTTAAAATTGGAAAGATATAGAGAAGATTAGTGTGGCCTCTGCACAAAATACTGTAGTTTCCTAAAGAAATCTTAAACATATTATAAGAGCTGCATTGTTAAAATCCAAACAGCAAAAACTCCTTTGACTGTCCTAAGACAGTTATCTGATTCTGCTACAGCTGACATGGAAATCATAAGGTGGCACAACAACATCTGAAGCCACTGTAATGGTTGATATATTGTGTCAATTTGAGAAGTTTACAAATTTAAGCCACTCAGCAAGGGCAAGGGGATTCACTTTGTAAACCTCTTCATTCTGTGCAAAAAAGAGGCTTAGAGACAGTGTGAGGGCTACATCCCACCTAAGGGGCTGGCCTGCTTATGGTATAAAGGAGGAAAAGAGGCTTGTTCTGTCCCCTTTTGCTCTTATTGCTTCTGACTTGAACTGTTGCCCCTGTGCTATGCCACCCTGCCTCAGAAGCAGCTGATTATGGACTGAAACCACCACAAACTGTGATCTCAGTAAGCCTTTCCCTCTTTAAATTTGGGTATTGAGTATTTTGTCCCAGCAATGAAAGAAAAGTAACCAACACAAAATTTGGTACCAGAAGTGGGGTTGTCACTGTGACTATGCCTGCTCATGTGATTCAAGAGCCTTTGGGATAGCTTTTAGGAAGAGTTTGAAAAGGCTTGGAGATGTCACCTGAAACAATAGCCCTGGAATGCCTTAGACAATTCTCTATGGGAGATTCTGGTCATAGCTAAGACCAGAACATTGACAGAAATCTTCCCAGTAAAAACCAGGCTCAGTAGGTTTCTTCTGGGAAAGAGTGCATTGGTTGGTGGAGTTAAGAGTATGTGTGTTATAACTTGGCTTATTCTAATTTAAAGAATATAAACATATTACCAATCAAATTCATTGGCAAAATGAACACACATCTGTTTACCCTACTCAAAGCTATTCATTGAAAATAAATTACACACAAACAAACAGACACACACACATACATACAACAGAAATTTTCATTTTTGATACATTTAGCAATAATATAAGGAAAAATAAAGTACCACTGAATGGTCAGGCTTTAAAGAATTCTTAAAAGAAACAAAACAAAAAGAAACCACTGTCCAAACAGTGTTTGAGAAAATTCTTTTACCGTTGCAAGTAGTTGTTTAGATTTTGGTAACATTTAGAAAATACACAGAATAGGATGTATTTCCAGAAAAATCACTAGGTAAGACACTGGAATTACATTTCATACAGTTGAGTTGTTACCTATTTATGTTTCCTTTATAATAATAATGTAGGCAGTATTCATTTTTACTCCATATTTAAGTAGTGAATATGACTTAAAAGACAGTCATAGAATATGGCTTAAAGATTATTAATCTTATCATAGATTAATAACCTATCTAGGAATACAGTCAGTGCCACAACTGATTCTAAAATACATTCCAATAAAAGAAAAGAAAATACATTCCAAGTGTGTTCTCTTGAAATACTTCATTCTACTCTTGAATATAGAAATAAACCAGTGGCTCTTTTGAAGAACTGTTTCATGTGATTTCAACAAGCTTAAATCCTTGGATATAAGATATACTGAAAATAAGGTGAATATTTAAATTAAAAAATAATTACTACGGTAAAAGACACATTGCCATTAATCATCCTCAAGTAGCTTATAATTTGAAATATAATAGATTTACTGCATATCCTGAAAATAAGCTACCTGGACATGTTTTATGGTTAGGTTCCAAATATCACCCCAAAATGACTAATTGTGTTGAAAGACTGGTTGCTGATGGCTTTTAGAAAATCACGAAATATTCTAATTTCATAACTCGATAACATTATTAAGAGATGATGGGTACAGAGAGTAAGAGCTGGCTGAAGGAAGTGGATCATGGAGGTGTAACCTTGGGATTTTGAATGTTTCCCAGCTGCCATGAGATAAGAGTTATTGTTGGCCGTGTTTCTGCATTGATATTTCTGCCTTGTCACAGACCTAAAAGCAAATAGAGCCAGCTCACCATGGAATAAAATCGAGTCAAAATAAACTTTTTCTCCTTTAAATTGTTTATACCAGAATTTGGCACAGTGACAACAAGCTGACTAATACATCATGCCACTTTCAGTATTCTAGATGCTGTACCACACATTCACCATCAGTATCCATAGGTTGGCAAACAAGAAGTCCTAAAAAGAAAACCAGTGGAGAGTAATCCCATGAAGGGTTACACAATGGCAACAAATTAAAGAGTGACCCTTAAAACAAAATAGAAACCTTTAAAATAAATGATTTCGTGAGACAGGCATGGTGGCACATGCTTTATTCCCAAGACTCAGGAGACTGAGACAGGAGGGTCATTGTGAGTTTGAGGCCAACGTGAGCTACAAAATGAGTTCAAAGTCAGCCTGAACTGCAGAATGAGACCCTGTCTCACAAACAAACAAACAAAAAGATTAATGATTTCCTGTAAGAAAATAGATGCACCGTGAATCCATAATATTAAATGAAATATATTGGACATAGGCTCATAAGCTTAAATAACCAAAAGTATAAATAAAAAAACAAAATAAAAGACAATGTAAAATACAGAAATAGACCTCTTGCAAATAGGAAGAAAACCAATAGATGTTGGGAAGGGATGGGGGATGTCAAATGCATTAAAATGTGTCCCATATATGCATCAACTATCCACAGTGAACATACTCATTATGTACCACAAACATGTATTATTTCTTAAAAGTGTAATGACTTCCTAAAAGCTTATAAAACACAAATATTCCATTTATAAGAGTAAATTATAAAATGGTAATCATTAGACAGTGAAAATAAAAATCAAGAAAAATGCAATTTGATTTTTTTATATATTTATAAATTTATGAATCAGATCAAGTTCAGTGAATATAGATAATAAAATTAGGGTTCAATATATTATCAAATTCAACATCTATATTCTTATTGTTATCTAACAAATTATCCAAAAATGTAGCAGTAAAGTCAACAAATGTTCTCTCACAGTTTTTGTGCATTGGGCATCTGGACATAGTGTTTCTCAGTGTTTCTGGGTTCAAACATCTCATAAGGCTAAAGTTAAAGTTTTTGCTGCAGGCAGCAGTCATCTCAGGCATCAACTGGAGGAAAATCTACATCCCTACTTAATGCATGGATATGGGCAGAAGACCTCTGCTCCCCTCTGGTTATTGGCTGAAGATATAGTACCAGACCCTTGCCACATGGGCTTTGGCATGACATAGCAGACTGAGGGAAACAGAGAAAGACAGAAAAGCTACAGACTTTTTATAGCCTAATCTCAGAAGTAGCATCCTATCACTTTTGCCATATTCTATTCATTAGAATAGAATTGGTCGATTCAATCTCTAATCATGGTATTTACCTAACAGGATTGTGGAGGGATATCTCAAGGTCCAGAAAATTCTCCTCTCATTAATTAGCTCAAAGCCTAGAACTTCTATGCAAGTTTATTTTAACTGACACATAAAAATTGTCCATATGAGGTTATTATGGGATGTTTTAATACGTGTACATATATTGCATAATGTTTAAGTCATATTAAACCTATATCTCCTCAGAAAATTATCATTTCTTTATGATGAAAGCACCTAAAGTCCTTTCTTATAGGTTCTTGAGATATACACCACATTATTACCTTCTTGTACACTGTACAATACATACCAGAACTTCTTACTTACTTTATTGTAACTTTGGATACATTGATCATTGTTTCTCCAACCCTTCCTCCATGCTACTGTGATAATTATTCTGTTGTCTTCTATGAGGTAATTTACTTTCCCATAAACATTGGGCAAGAGTTTCACTTTCTCTCCAGCACTTATTATTATTATTTATTTTTGATATTAGCCTATATTACTGGGATGAGGTGTTTTCTTATTGCAGTTTTTAATTTCCCTGATCATTACTGATGTTGAGCATTATTTCAGATGCCTGTTGGTCATTTTTATATCTTTTTTTGAGAAACATCTAATGAAGTCTATTTGCCTGTTTTTAATTAGGTTGCTTTGCCATTGAATTTGGAGAATTTTTTATATAAATGTCAACCTTTTGTCAGATGCATAGTGTGTAAACATTTTCTTCCACTCTAGATTGTCTCTTCACTGGTTGATTGTTTCTTTGCTGTGTAGGAGCTTTTTAGTTTGATGTCCCATTTGTCTATTTTTGGTTTTGTACTGTCTAGCTCCCTCTATGGAATCAAGAGACATGTTAGCTGCCTCCTACACATTGAACAGAGAGTAGATATTTCTCTTTAAAGTGAGAGAGAAATGGAAAGCCCAAAAAATCATTGGTGAATAGAAATTTTGAAACTGAATATTGAGAAAGTTATTGATTTTAGGTCTAAAGACCTGAAAATGATTCTCTGTAGTGCTGAGCTCTACCTGAGTCATCTTTCTTTTCTTTTGAAAGGTAGAATGTGTTTGCAGCTGACTAGTATATGTATTTGCATTCATATAAATTGTAGGAGAGACAGACATCAAGAGTTGTATATATATTATTGTATATATTATTGAATGTTTTTCATCACTGTGAATGAGTATCTCAGTGTTTTCTAAATTTTCTCCAGTAAACATTTTTGGATTTTATAACACACATGCACACGCACACACGCACACACACACACACACACAAAACTTTCTTAACAATGAGGAAAATACATTCACTCCAAACATTAAACAGTGGTGTAATGAACATGCTGATACTATCAAATAAAAGATCAAAACATGCGTGAACTATATTGCCAATCTGCTAATACATGTTAAGAAATACTAGTGCTAGGTTGCTGAAAGTGTCATGCTTTAACCTGTATTGTTATGTTGTTATGCCCCCTTTTATCTCAACCTCTCCCTTATTCATTAAAAAATTATTTAATTTTTAAAATTCCTTTTTTAAACTAAGGGGAAAAATAAAAAATCTAGCAGGATATATTATAGTAACTTTTTTGATTTCCTACCAACTTGAAGTCCTGTAATACCCCCGTTATCTTGTTTTGACTGATTAGACTCTATTCTGCTCTGTATGAAAGTATCAAGTATCAGAGGATAGGCAACTACTATAAAGGCA